CAAGTTGTTAGTGTCTTACTTTATATATACCTGCTTTATGGTACATAATGATCGTTACTTAGGCCTAACTCTTATAGCTACCATTAAAATCGAGTCTCTTCCTCGTGTACTTGGCTTCCGGGAAGGTAAACACCAAGTTGTTAGTGTCTTACTTTATATATATATATATACCGGCTTTAGCGCGTGCACAACAACTTTATTATGGTACATAATGATCGTTACTTAGGCCTAACTCTTATAGCTACCAGTAAATCGAGAGGACATTGACGCTCGTGTCAGTGACCCGTGGTATGAGTTTTAGGTTATACGTGTTTTCCCTGCAGGAATATGTGAAGAATTATAGGTATGGTTAAACCCTAGCAACTCTGAGAAAGGGTTTGGGATAAAGGAGAGAAATAATTCCTTCTTATGTATCATTTAATAAACCACCCAAAAAATTCTTGATTTTTGTTGGTTGGCAGTTTTCGGTCTTCAAATATTCTGTCACTTTTAATTTATCGCAGTGACTGTTCAGTACTATGTAGTTTCTGATTACATTTTTAGAATTTAGATATTGAATTGTCTTTTGCTGAACGTTTGATATTGGGAATGTCAGTCATTTACTTATCTTTAAAAAATATAAATTAAAGAGGTTTTTTTTACATTTTTACTATTTGTAATTGAAGGATGGTGATGCTGTCGTCAAATACTGAGGGTTAGTGGAACTCTATATGTGCTAAATTTTAAGTTTCGTGCTTGTTTTTAAATTACTTCATCCATTGTGGATATCGTGGATATGGTCATGATTATACATTATTACCTGAAATTGCAATTTTCATTGTAACAAGCTTTTGTGTCAAACGCTCAGATTTTCAACTGTACGTGTTTTTTTATTAAAAACAGCCGTTGATTTCGAGGCGTTGCTGGAAATTTGCGAACTTTGGTTTATGATCCTTCGTCAGCTTCAAATCCTTGTTTGCTGTTTTGAACAAAACAATGTGCTCAGCTTTATAGTAATTAATTTTGGGTCGGAGGATTCTTTTCGTAACCATAGCTTTCACATGAATGAGAGCGTTTTTTTTTTCAGATTGTTTTGGGGATGTGGTTTCGGAGACGTTTTTTTTTCAGTTTCTTTAAAAAATTTTGGTAACAGTCTTCTTTAACGTGTTTGCGTTCTTTGGTTCTACATCGTTTCGCGTCTCATTATATGAATATCTATCCTTGGAAAGGGCTGTGTCAAAAATTTTCTAGACATGAATAGACCCATGATGGATTTGCACTGTCGAATGGTCAGGTTTTTGCCCTAAATCAAACACGTGAATTCTCAGTGTAAGACATATGTTTCTACACCCTTTAAATATATTTAAAGGGTGTAGAAAAAACAGTCTCAGCCCATCAAAATGCACCGATTTCAGGGAAAATTACAAACTGTTTCCGGATAGGCATGACACCCATTTCCCTTTTCCACCAATAGTAGCTCCCATCTTTATAACATGTACAGATCATCCCGAATGAGATCAACTTGCTTAATAAAAGGGCATTTTAAACAAGTTTATGACTTTAAATTTTAAACAGTTCCTTTCTTTTTTATAAACTGTAAAGGAGATTGAAACAGTAAATGCACGTTACATAAAATAAAAACTGTACAGTTGTTTAACAGAAGTTACAAAGAGTGTGTGCGTGTTTTTATTATGGGCAAAGCCACATCGGGCTGTGTACACCGAGGGGAATCGAGCCCCTGATTTTTGCGTTGTAAATCCGTAGACTTACCGCCGCTGTCTCAGCGGAGGACATTAAAAGGAGTAAAACAAATATGTAGTTATAGGTCTTATTTTTTGTTTTATTACACATTTTTACAGTCACAGTGTCTATATTTATAGGTCTTATTTGTTGTTTTATTACACATTTTGTATAGTCACAGTGTCTATATTTATAGGCCTTATTTGTTGTTTTATTACACATTTTGTATAGTCACAGTGTCTATATTTATAGGCCTTATTTGTTGTTTTATTACACAATTTTTACAGTCACAATGTCTTTATTTATAGGTCTTATTTTTTGTTTTATTACACATTTTTTACAGTCACCGTGTCTATATCAGTAGGTCTTGTTTATTGTTAAAAATTCTTATAAGACATACTTTTAAGACCTGACGAGAGTTGGCGGTGGGCAGTGTTGACTAGCTCTAAGTATATCACTTCAAAGATATGATCGGCTAACCTTCGTGTAGCATTGCGCCAAATTGAACAAACAAACTCAAGATTTGTCCAATGTGAAGAATGATAAGTATACGAGTATGCGTGGGCTTGTCATCCAAAATTTTCCATTTTATTTGAGCTAAAAGAGAAGTTCGTGCCGTGTCATATTTTGGCATTCACCTAGCATAGTTTAAAAATCTCTTCATCAGCGACTGCCGCCACCACATTTTCTATATTCTTTATATATATACATATATACTTCGAAAACTCGAATCTAGTCACGCACGCGCTCTTACGTTAGTAATTTACATAAAACTGGGCACTTAAGACTTGTATAGACAGGTGTTTCTACTGTTCACTTGGCTCAGCTAAGCCTAGTTCAGCAGGTGTTTTTGTTATGTATGTACATAGTGAAGAGGCAATTACCGATATTAAATATCTGTCACTAATCCACGTTTACTCCAACGTTAATTCTGGGCAGTTTGGAGTATGCGTGAGATCCACTAGTAACAGAAAAATCAACGAAAACGCTGACTTGAAGCTATTTTCAAACCACCCTGTATGTTGGAAATGGATTTGCCATAAATAATGAATATGTATAGCTGTTTAGAAGATACCACTTGCTGCGTCAGGGACCACTTCGCTGCACAGCCTGCATGCTCTTAGTTTTGAATGGACGCTGTGGAGAGAGAGAGAGTTTTACGTAATACGTGACGTCATGCATCGAGTACATGGGCTCTTCTGTCTCCCCCCTGGTGGGTGTCGTTTTCTGCTGTATATTAGTCAGCAGGAGGATTTGGACCAATGGAATGTTTCTTAACATGTTAAAAACATCTTTGTCTCATGCAGCAGTGGTGGTGGGTTCTCTAAACTTTGTGGGACCGACCTGATATTTTTTGTGTACCTTACATAATTCAAGATTATGAAAGCTAAGGTCGTTCATTGAAATGTATTTCTTTTTGCCCATACATAGTCATGGTGGTCCAGCCATTTTGTGTCTGAAATTTTATATTTGGGCAATATTTTCTTCATAAGAGCAGTGGCTTCTAACGTTGTAAATCCGCAGACATACTGGTCAACCTTAAGTACAGGAATTCGTGTGGGGTCCAAAACAACGAATTGTCCACTTATAAATCGACAATATATAGTGTCACTAGTTAATAACAGTACTCTTCAGGTGTAAGTGATGGCTGATGATTTCAGGTTTGTTGAAAGTCCACTCCGAACTTTCTACACCACTGTATTACAGTATCAAAGAAAGGACAAAATACTACTAGTTTTTCGCTCCTTAAATAAAATATGGTTAACAGTATATATTGCTTTGCATGAAATAAGCTCTGTAATAATGTGGATGAGTATGGGTAAAGTTTGTTTGGATAATAATATCCATGATATAAGCTCTGTAATAATGTGGATGAATATGGGTAAAGTTTGTTTGAATAATAATATCCATGATATAAGCTCTGTAATAATGTGGATGAACATGAGTAAAGTTTGTTTGGATAATAATATCCATGATATAAGCTCTGTAATAATGTGGATGAATGAACATGGGTAAAGTTTGTTTGGATAATAATATCCATGAAATAAGCTCTGTAATAATGTGGATGAATGAACATGGGTAAAGTTTGTTTGGATAATAATATCCATGAAATAAGCTCTGTAATAATGTGGATGAGTATGGGTAAAGTTTGTTTGGATAATAATATCCATGATATAAGCTCTGTAATAATGTGGATGAACATGGGTTAAGTTTGTTTGGATAATAATATCCATGATATAAGCTCTGTAATAATGTGGATGAACATGGGTTAAGTTTGTTTGGATAATAATATCCATGATATAAGCTCTGAAATAATGTGGATGAACATGGGTAAAGTTTGTTTGGATAATAATATCCATGATATAAGCTCTGTAATAATGTGGATGAACATGGGTAAAGTTTGCTTGGATAATTAATGTCTTTATACGTCATCTGTCATGTATTAACCGGAAAAGCTCTTGTAAACGGAAATTTCTATATCTACAAATACAGTTGCTCGTTATACCTCAATGGTACTGCTATGGCTTTGTCTGCGTTCATTCCGCCGGCAACCACGTTTAAAACACTTCACTTGTAAATGTTTCTATACAATTTAAGCTTTTTTTAAAAAACATTTATTATTGTTCAAAACTGTTATTGTTAATTAATAATTAATACTGTATTTTTGGAACATTAGCAAGGCGTCAAAATGTTTCCTGTAATATATCGTAAGGGAAACCCTTTCGAAACCGGCATTTTTGTAAGTGCCGGTTTATAAAACTTTTACTGTACATATGTACATAATTTACTAAAAGGATCGTAAGAAAAAAAGAAAAAAAAACAGAAAAAACGCTTCTATATATTCATTGTTTTTAAGAACAAAGAAGTCTGTTCATTTAATTTAACAACTGTGAGGAGTTTATTTCACAAATCGACATTTGTTAATAAGTTTGACTTGGAGTTTCAAGCCCCAGTGCATGTGTGTTAATAGAACTGAAAACGTAACTTAGTGATATTTTATTTTGTAAAGTGTCAACGAATATATCACTGTGGAACTATTAGTGGAAACATAAGAATAACGACTTCTACTTCCTAATTCAGTGAGTTCTTCTCCATTGAGATAAAACTAAACACGCCAGAGTTAAAACATTACTTTGTTTCTGATTCAAATGTGTTTTAGATTTCTCAGTCAAACTACATGTATGGAAAGAAAGGAATGAGAACGTCAGTAAATAAATACAAATGTATGACTTCCACTCTTGAAAAATGTATCTCATTTACTTGTCTTTTCTTTCTCTTAGGCGTCAAGAAAAGTTTCTAAGTGTGGCTATCTCTTTGTTGCCCCCGACTTTGACTTCTCTGTGACCATCAACAGGACAAAGGTAGGAGAATCGTCAAACATGGTATATAGACCTAGTCGACCATCTGTTTCCTTTCTAGGGGTTTATGAACTGTATCAATAAAACTGGTCAATAGTTTAATATTCGTTGCATCTGATGTAGGGTCAGCAGTTAGTAAACATTGTTACTATAAGTCACCATTAGTTAAAATTGTAGTTAACCATTTGATGTTAAAGATTCATAAACTAATAGAACTGTTGAATAAATCATTTTAACTGACAACAGTCTGTTATTGTTCAGTGTTATACATTAGAGTTAATTTTCTTTCCTCGTTGGTTATACGTTAGAATCCGAACACATTTGTAGTACACTAATTCGTCCGGATTATCGAGACATCCGGGTAATCGAATCGGTCATTTTGAATAAAGTGGACACTGTTAATAGTACGAATTATCCGTCGATAAATGTTAGGGTTCAGATTAGTAAGGGTAGTAAACACAAATCAACTGTTTGTATTGATTATTCGATACATCGTCAATAATTCCATAATCCGAGTAACATTTCATTATCTTCACATAAAACATCACTGAGTTCAAACTTACAAAATACACGGTATTGGTCAAATTAATTTCTAAACAAGGATCTAATCACAGCTTGCTTTTTAACTGATTTTTTTGTCTTTTGAAGCATATCGGCATCTTCAAGAAAGTAGCACATTACGTCATAATCTTCCCATGAATCACTTTTGTTCTAACCATGTGATGACGTATTTAAGGCTAAGTCGTGCTTTATTCTGACTGACTCGGCTAGTGGTTCATTATCGATGTCACATTCACTGTCATCACGCTTTTCAAGAGACACCGTGTAAACGTGTGCCTTCATCTGACAGCTCTTGACCATAGGTCATTGGTCAGCTGACGTAGCATCATTACTACAGGAGATTAGGGTATAATTCCATAAGAAATCTCATTAGCGACTTGTGACATCTCAACAGTTTAGCTATGTTCTGGTTGTGGAAAAATCTTGACACAGCAACACTGGACCATGCGAAACTTACCATCTGTACAGACTCATTACAGTTCGTGAATCGTTATTTCCCGCACATTCTATGTACTGTCTAATCAGTTGAAACTGGTGGTAAGCTTTGGATGATTTGATTATTACGTTGTATAACTCACGTGGTGTTTGGTGGCAAGTGGTGTAGCATGAATACAGAACGGTTTTTCTCTTCTTTGAGTGCGTAATTTTGTTCATGTCCTCCAGCCACTCCAAGAACAACGCTTGCATCATTCAGGTTTTTTTTTGTTAATTCTTACCTGCACCTCACTTGGACAGCAGGGTACCCGCTGCCAGATGCGAGTTTATTCTCAGAAAAATTGTCGTAAACCGTTACTTACTAGTTAGCACAGGTGTTTTGTGGTCACTAATTATTACTTCGTTTCCTGTTCAGATCGACCCCTACTTCTCAGGGAGTCATGTACGGATTACCGAATCGTGTATCCGCAAGAAATACTTCTTTTTTTTGTAACAATAAATGTTCGGATGCGGAACGCAATTATTGTAGAGATTTATGTAAATGAAAAGTCATCCGGATTGTGAATAATCCGGATTAACGAGGGTTCATTGTATTATGGTTTGTTTTAAAAACAATATACTGGAACCTTGTGCATGTGTGGTGCGGGAGGTTGATGGTTTATTATAAGGCGATTGTATTTAAATTTCGTAATTAAATTATTTATTATAACCCTTTATTTTTAATTATGGTTTACACTGTTTTAATTTCATTAGTCACAGTTTGTTAATCATAAAAATGCCAGACATGTTATGTCGAAATATTTGTGTTTATATTATAAAAATCGTGCAGTTAATTGCATCTTGTTTTACTACTGTTCAACAAGTTGTCATAAATCTCTCGGTGTCAAAACTTCTTCAGTATTATATCTCATAGGCTTCAGCGTTTTATCATTACTTTACCTTGCACCACGCTATTTCATTCTTTTCAACTGTACTTTGGGTCTCATTGTTACAGAATGTTTCAACCGTGCATCATAAATCTCCTTATTTTAATACTTTTAGGCCTTCACATTGAGTTTCTTCAGATTGACTCAAATAAGGTTTTAATATACCGGTTACACGTATTTTATACATGTACCGTGTTGTCTGAGGTGTTATTCCAGCTAAACAACCCGACCTTTAGCCTATGATCGTGACATGATCTTAATCCAAAGACGTCAAGTGACATTACTTCCGGTTGACCTCAATATGGCAGCTTCTTTTTGGTGCGGACATAATTGATGAAACCCCACCACTCCAGATGATACAGTCATGATGTAACTTCCAGTTGACATAAAAAGTTCCAAACATTTTGGATAAGGTGACGCTCTAGCTCTTTATATCGCGGCCATCTTGAATGAGCCCTCTGGTAGTAGCACAAACACATTAAACATGATGAAAATCACATTGTTCATGGAGACCCGGGTTTTCTTCCACTCATTCCATTTCAATACACAGTGAGTTCAACTACTTTAATTTAAAGCTATATTGCCATGTGAAGGCATCATTCTTTAATATGGTTATCCATCTTATGTTTTCTTTAACGTCATTTTAAAAGCGGGGCCGACTTTAGAAAGACAGTGGTCACAAAATTATAGAGGAAAAACAAACTCACCAGGTCGCGTGATTTATGAAGCTTTCGTCCATGCTAGGGACATAAAGACCCCCTCACACACACATATTTGGACATAAAGACCCCCTCACACACACATACTTGGACATAAAGACCCCCTCACACACACACACACATACACATACTTGGACATAAAGACCCCCTCACACACACATACTTAACCTACTTGTTTTGCATCAATCCAATCTTAAACCAAGCAGTCAATTCAATATTCCCCCTCCACACACACACTTTCTCTCTCAGCGGCTTGGATAGCTTCCAAGTTAAACCTATCTATATCTATTAATTTGGTCGTTATGATACTTTGTTAATGAATCCATGTCTAAATTGGTGATAAAATCCTAATCTTCTCGAAATATTTTCCTTGTATTTGATAGCAATTTGTTGTTGCTAGGTGGTTAGGGCACTCACCTCGCAATCTTGAGGGTCGCGGGTTCGAATCCCCGTGACACCAAACATGCTCGCCCTTTCAGCCGTGGGTGCGTTATAATGTGACGGTCAATCCCACTATTCGTTGGTAAAAGAGTAGCCCAAGAGTTGGTGGTGGGTGGTGATGACTATCTGCCTTCCCTCTAGTCTTACACTGCTAAATTAGGGACGGCTAGCACAGATAGCCATCGTGTAGCTTTGCGCGAAATTCAAAACAATTTGTTGTTTCAGTACCATTAGCTGTAAATATTTATGAAACCATGGAGAATCTTGGGTAAAATTATACTTATCTTTAGTAACTACTTTTATTTGACGTTGTTTATCTTCAGATCCATCATCTTCATTGGATCTATTTTCTTCTTTGGGTCTATGAACACTCGATGCATTTTTATCATCAGTAGTATCTCCATTTTCCCCGTCAGCATAATTTCCAAGGAATATATCTTTTTTTGTTTTTTACTAATACTGTTTTAACTTTAACTATTATCTCTAGTGGGTGGTTTTTTCTCCTCCCTTTACATTTCACGTATATAACTTTTCTATACAGTTAAAGCTTGGAGAAAAGTTTTGATACAAACTTATACTTTAACAGAATTAAGAAGTCCCACAGTTAACAACTTCAATTTATTAAACATAGCGGTATGAATCACTTTTATACTTCTAACATTGGTGAGCATGAGCAGTGCGTAGTTATTCACGAGCAATTCAGAGCACGTTATTCATTCTCGAACCAGAGCAACTGCTGGTGATTCTTAAGTGACTCTAACTCTTCACACACGAGTACCTTATCATCATTGTTCGTTATTCATAAGACACTGAATTATATGTTTTATTTTTGTAACCTTGTATTATTAAATAGCCACTTCCTCAGTACACTAGTCCTGAAAAAAGCTAGGCATTCTGTTAAACCAATCACATAGATTTAATTGTTCAACATCTATGAACAAGTCAGAAGTTAGGAAATTGACATCAGTAAGCATATCAGTTAACAAAAGGTGTATCTTTTATTCATTTACATTACGCCTAATCACAATAGGTGTTCTTGTAAGCATCTTATAAAAGCTTGGGAACTTAAAAACCTACAAATAGGGATCGTAACAAAAAGGGTAAGGAAGCAAGGCTAGAGATACTGTAGACATTATTTACTGAAACTACAAACCTCTATTTTGGCTCCATGCTGTTACCTAGAATTACATTTGGTGGAGTCAAAATAGGAATTTGTAGTTTGTATAAATAACGTATACAGTATTGCCAGTCTTGTTTCCTTACTTCTTTGCTGTCCCTATTTGCAGGTTTTTATATTCCCATTCTTTAATTTATCTTGTTTGATAGCTTTTTTTATGATCAACTATGGCCAAAGGATTACTTGATATGGTGGCTAACGTTATATATTGTAATGATAGTAAACATAGCTAATAGTTAGCTGATACGGTTCGTGATGATTTACTGTAGCTATTGATTATTTTATCGCATTAGTTCGAGATGTAAAACTTTAAGCTGCAACTGGTGATTGTCATGGAGATTTGTTTGAGAATATAGTGAGCATTTATAGTTTCTGTGTAACTAAATTCTCTTTTTATAATGCATAGCAATGGGCAAATATATTCTTAGACTAAGACACAACCCCCAATAGGTGCGTATAAAGTTTTACTAGTAAAAAAGCAAACTTTTCAAATAAAAAATTATATGTCTAAAACATCGCTTTAAATAAACCTTAGTGTCTTTTAAGGTAATTATTCTGGGAATGTGTGTAATAAAATTTAATATTATGTGTATTGATTTGTTTTTACTCCTTCACATCATACATAATATAGGAGTTGGCTCCCTGAAGACACCGACTGTATAGTGTACAAAGCATTGAGTATCTACATGTTACAGTCATCTAATGTTCATCTATCATTGACTGATAATTCTGATTCACCCTGTA